TAATGTTATGTACAGTAGGCAGTTGCTGTTTAATCATATGCATTATTAAACTTGACTAACTAAAGCCAGGAACTACAATACCATTATATTTTCACATCATACAGCTGGATAGAAAACAAGAAACAAAAATCCATGAATAATGCACAATTTAGGAAACATATTTAATAATAAAAGCTTCACATCATAACGGATATAATTTTAAAAAGTTGAAGTCTCCAACAACCCATTTAAATCAAGTTAAAATGTCTTTTTTAAAAAACATTATTTTATTCTCATATATACTGATCAAAACGATTTCAGCTCTCAAACCTACAAAAGGTTTTACAAAAGGAATCTATCAACTCAATTTTACTTTTTGTTTAAAAAATAAAATGTATTAAAAAAATGAATGTCAAATGTTGTAGTTTTGGGAGAGGAAATGATAACATTTGCTATATGCACATAGTGCAGGAAATACTTTAAATATGTCCATTTTTTTCATGGGGGGTGGGGGGGTGGATGATGTTGGTGAATGTAAAACAAAGACTCAAGTCCTACAGGTTTGTTTTAAATGATTTAACCTCCACAACTCACACATAAATTTATTAAGCAGGTCTTGAAGGGCCAGACACTGGCTGGCTCGCTTGCATGTATCACAATTTTTATATCGGTCACTTTCCACCACTCATCTAAAGGTCAAGCCTCCGAATATAAACAGACAGGCCTAACACTTGGGCTGAAACACCAGTGTCTCTATATCAGGGGTCTCAGGCTGAGCTCCTGGAGGGCCTAGTGTCCACTGGGTTTTGCTCTCCCAGAGCTCTAAGTTACATACATGGTCAAATTATTTAATTAACTTCACAACAGCAATACTTCTGTCAAGGCTTGGATGTGCTTTATAGGTAACTGTACCTTCAAAGAAGCCAATTATTTTGAGTAACCAACTGTAAAAGGTCTGAAGAAAAATATTTTTTGACCCTGAAAACAAAACTGAGATAAGCGATTAATTGATTATTCACACTAAAACAAAAAACAGACGTTTCTAGGTTTGAGGCCCCTGTACAATATTCAGAACGCTACAGCTTTGAATGAAATTAAGAGAGTGGGACTGTAACGTATAAAATTTCTCTGTGTTATGTTTTGAAAAGGGTAAAGGGGAGAAAGAGTTTCACAGTCCCACAAAGTTTTTGCCACTCCTTTGACATCAACCTCTACTTTGAGCTAAACACTTATGGGAAGCAAAACACTCATGCATAACCTCTATCAGAGCTGACAAGATGGGCTGGTGTTCAGCATAGTAGAGAGCCCTCCTGTCACAAACAAAGCATGTGTTAATGTTATGCCTTATTACCAAGACATGAACAATGAAGCACCACCAGTGACAGATAGTTGGAGTAATTTACTGACCAGTTTTTAGTAAGCATATGGCAATTACATCGGAACTGCTAATGGCTGCAGAAACTCCCATGCGGAAATGCATCTCCATAATATTTTAAATAAAATTTGATCATTTCAGAATAGTAATTAGTAGGCCACTTTTAACAGAGGCTTTGATCTCAAAGTGAATACTACTGTCCATGCAGTCAAAAAAAGGAACATTTCTGCTCTTTCTGAAAAAAAAAAAACAAAACCAACTCTGTTGGCAAACTCAAATTAAGACAGTATTTTAGAGAACTTTTATATCACGTTTCTCTTTTTTAAAAGAAAATAATGCCACTACTGTGCAGTACTGCTACTGCTGAGGTAGACGTCAAGCAATAATGCAGAAGTGAAACCCTACAGTTCACTAAAGTTATTTTCATCACTTCGCTGAAAATTTTATTATCTGCTTTGTTTCCTATATGCTGTATGATAATGCACTTTAATTATATTTTAGTGTGTCTGCGTATAGGACTACTCTGTAGCTAGTGATTTAATCATAATTGCAAAGGAAACAAATACAGCTACAGGCCCTGCCTAAAAAAACCCTATCCAGATGTTGAAAGAACAACTGTCTGCACACATTAGCAGAACAACCTTGGAGACATACAGTTTGGGAAAACAACCACATCCACCTCTGCTACAATCAATAACTACATAACTATGAGTAAAAACATTACAGTACAAGACCATGTAGGCCTACTGCAAAAGCAACTAATCAATGAAAACCTACCGTTCTACCTATAAAAATATGGACAACAAAGACTGAAAGCAGTATGAACCATTTTTGTCCTGCACAAAAAGAAATGACATGTGACATTTCAGAATAATTTGAAACCCTACCACTTTCAATACTAGAAAAATCTCCATATCGGCATTAGGCCTACTACACAAATCAGCCCATAAAAGAGAGAGCAGACCTGCCAAATCTGAAACTACATATTATCAGCGCAGGTTGAAGACATGGGGCTCTGGCACAGCTGCCTGCTTTTTGCTGGTTGATCTTGAACACAACCGCAGAAGAGACTCCTGAGCTGAAGTGTGCAGGATCAGGGACTGCTCCCAGACTTCGCACAACACATTTTGTGAGCTTCATGAAGCCTTGCAGTGGTGTTAAGGTCAGAGAAAACCAGGGAGCCTTCCTGTACAGTCGCCGTCACCACGGGACACCTTCTGAGTCTTATCTGGCCGATACAGCATGTACAATATGAATAACTGCAGTACGAATTAACAGAGACCACACAGCCAAATGGTCACTGCATAGAGGGCTCCTGCAATATCTCATTTTCACATGCAGTACCGGCATATTAACAACACAATATCATTGAATATAAACAAAATCGCACTTCAAACGATACTTTCTGACTTATGTCACGATATAACATTACTTAACACTGTTTACCCTACAGAGAAAGTAAAACAAGCAGTGAAACAACTGCATTTCTAAAACAAATATCATGGGCGCTTAGATCTAGTTCAAGCGGTCTAAAAATTCCTCTTTCAAAGTGGGGGATCAAACAATACAAGGAAAAACATAACGCACTGCCGGGCAGGAAAGACTACTTTCCTTTGGCTTGGCTGTTAGCCTTATTATGATAACAAAGAGAACATCCTTTTTTGCTATTTTTATGCCGACGTTACCCCGGAGATTGTAGTTCACTCAGACAAGCAAGGCTGTCTACACATCACGACTAAATGACAAGGGACTCATATGGACATGGCTTCAACAACAGCAGTGACTAAATGCAAAGGCACAAAAAAAAAACATTTTAAAGTTACTTTTGCGACGGAAAACATTTTAAGAAACTACTCATCTAGGATCCACCCGCACTACTGCCGGCGAACTGAAGTCTGTCATGTAAATACTACTGACTGAAGTGCAAATGCTCCCAGTATTAAGTTGCAAATGCTTGAGGCTAATATGGGTCTTCTATAAATCACACCCTTAGTAAATCATTCAGTCGTTCTCAGTGAACAAAAGCCATGTTTATTCTGGAGAAAGTTCATATTTAGGGACCCGCTTTAATAAAGTCAGCTACAGTTGCAAAGGACCTATAATGTGGTTTTGCCTGTTGGTAACAGGACGGGATCACTGTAAACGGAGCGTCGGGGAGCCCCCTAGCGTTCAAACTAGTTCAACTCTCGGAAGTTTGTCATTTTTTGTAGGACGAGAACAGATTTCCAGAAAGTTGTAATCTCTTCCCCACCCTTATGCGAGAACACACACAGGAGCGGTTGTTCAATGATTTAAATTCTTATAGCAAAAGGCCTCATCACGGGTCCCCGATTCACATACCACACAGTGCTTGCAGTTTACAAACAAACAAAAAAGTTATACAAGAATTATGATTCTATTTACATTATTAAAGAGTGATAACGCACATATCCTACAGTCGTAATTGTCCTCATTCTGATCTCGATCATTAAGTATTTTAGTTTTGTTTAGTTGTTTAACTAAAGTTTTGTACATTAATTCGGTTTTGTCACTGCACGTATAAATGTACAGCATCCAAAAACTACTGGATGGTAACTTCGGTGCTGTTTCGAAAGGACATTTTTTTTCCTTCAATAGGTCTTTACTCTTTATTTTCGATCCTAACCTACTCTGCGTCGCATACGACTGTTGGGAGCTAAAATTGTGGCATTGACTTGCATGGTTTCTGATTTAAAGGTATGTACTGCACTGTTTCTATAGCACAATAGATCCAAGTACCACTCAAATTCTTCACTAACCCAGAGGCTAATCTTCAATGAATTGATTCTGTCAGATTTCATTTAGATACATTTTAACATGAATCTCAAGTAGCTTTCTGCTCATCTAAAACAATGTCATTGTTGTAGCACCTAGAGCCGTCTTGCTTTAGTCTTGTATGTAAATAATCCATTGGCGGTAATAAACAATAATAACAATACAGCACACTTGCAGCGCAAAACCAGGTTCTGCAAAAAGTCGCATCCTAAAGATCCAAGCTGCGTGTTTACTGGCAATGTGGCCGAATTCTCTGGGTTTATCAAAACAGTTCACAAATTACAGAAAATCAGGAAGCCTGTTAAGCAGTTGTTTTAATACGTGTAAAAACTGTTCAACTGTTCAAACAACAGCACCCGCTGTAACCGAGATCAGAAAAATGTCGATTTAAGTATAACTGATATCAGATCCATGCCCGTTTGAAATGAAACATATTCTATGCTGTTGTAACGATTTCCAGTTGCGTATTAGGTTTTCTTTCGGTGTCAACTGAACAACTAGGGGCACATCAAACCTCCCGTTTAGTTCAGGAAGATCTGCGCAGCCTTATGGCATTTTATGCAAACCGGTATTTTTTAAGAATTCAGACCTAGTATCTTCTCCACTCTACAAAAAAACAGATCCTGCCGATAATTAATATTGCTGAAAATCGGCTGCATGCTCTATCCCAAACAGCAGGAATCCACGAAACCTGCTGCACCACACATCCGTTTTTTTTGGGTGGACTGGTGTAGTGGGTGACGCTCCTGTTCTCAAAGTAAAACATTACATACATCTATGTTTGTGCAGGTTCGCGTTTTTTTTTACTCTGGTACAAGACTGCACGTCTGAAAATCACTTAGCTGTTTTTTACCTTCATCCAACAGCCTTTCGAGGTGGTTGAAAATCCCACAGAAGTTAGGCAGGCTGCTCATTAGTTTTTTATCGTTCATGAGCTGCATCAGATAGTCTGGGGTCGGCTTCGGCTTCTCCTTAGTTTCCATTTCCCCAACCATATTCCAAAAAAAAAAAACACAACCACTTTAACCCCAGACAGAAAAGAAGAAGAAGGAACAAAAAAAATAAATATCTCTATAAAAATAATTAAAAATAAATAAAAACGAAAAAGTCCCAAAACGCAAGAGATGTGTGTATTTTTCACACCCCCCTCGGTTCAAATCTCTCCCAGCCGACAGCTACTAGACGCTCCTGGTGGCTCTCGTCAGTTTCTGTAACGCACAAGTCTCACTGCGATTCTGTTCCTCCTTCTTGTCAGTTGTTCCAGTGGACAGAAAAAAGAAAAAAAAAGAAAACGCTTAAAAGGGGAGGGGGGGGGGACCGGGGGGAAAAAAAAGGGGGGGGAGGTAGTTTCTTTTTATTACTGGTTGCGCCGCTAATTCCACAAGTAACCCAGGACGAACAGCCAACTCCGGGTTGCTCACTTTTCCTTCAGTCGCAGTTGCGCTGCCTCTCTGCTTCGTCTTACCCTTATCGGGTGTCTTAAGGCCGTTTTAAGGTCCCTCTTTCCCCCCGTGTTCCCCAGAGCTTGCCGTGTGTGTTGTATGTTTCTGTGCACAAGTACCAGCGACCGTCCCTCTCCGCTCTCGGCAGCCGAGCTCCTCAATGAAACTGGCGTTCCGCTCGCTCTCCCACTCCTGGGCTCGCCGCGCGCCCACGTGACCGGCCTGCCCGGCACAAGCCCCTTGCAAGCCGGGGGGCGCGCGCGCGCGTTCCTGTGCGCGCGCCGGGGGGGGTGGGGGTGCGCGCGTACGGTCCGCGAGGAGAGGAGTCGCAGCGGTGGAGCGGGGCTGTCCGCGTGCTGGCTGTGCACTGAGCGAGCCCGGAGCCCGGCCACCGTAACGTTGTAGTCTAGCCGTTTGACATGTTTAAAGAAAAAAGGCAAATTTGTTGTTGTTTTTTTTCCCAGCCGCCACAAGAGTTCAAGTAGGCAGTATAACGGCAGGGTTGCTAACTCTCCCGTTTCCTCTCTAGAATGTTCTGCTGCCTTCCTTCAGCAAGGGAATATTTCCTGCCACATTTTGTAGTTTTAGAAATCCTCAGAATCTCAAAACAGAAAGGGAGTCGGTTAACCATAAAACATTACACGGTTTGCTTTAAAGAATATGGTGAAATTCCGCAGTGGGATTTACTGTAAGTGCAGTAACGCAGACATTTAAAACCAGTGTCGGACTTGCACAAGATCAGTATATAACTCCGAGTGTGCGGTACAGCAGCATTAGAACTTGGAATCGCATCTGTGGAAGAAAGCCTCGAACAAACTACTCCACCAGCAGTAGTGTTTGGAAACCTGGTTTCCCATCTGCACTTAAAAAGTCTGGAAGTCCTTCAGAACATTATACTGTGGCTCAGTGGTATGTCTACAAACTGACTCCTTTAAAAACTATGATCCCAGGCCATCTCTGTGATCCAGGCAAATTGCACAGAGACAGGAAAGGTCAGATGTATTGCTTTGAAAAGCTGTGCATTTCTGACTAGCAGTTCTAATTCTGGACCATAAACCTGCAGAATCTCAGTATCACAGGGTGAAGTGGCATATATACAGTATATACAGAAGATGTAATATTCATATGCTTGCCACTCACATTTGAATAAACAGACTGAAAATCGATAGATTTATTCATATTACTAGAATGAACAAAAATGCTGCCATTGCAGTGCTCGAGGAAATAACTAGTTGCTTCATCATGTCAAGCAACTCATTTTAGTTTGTTCACTTATTGCTAATTAGGGGGCTCTTATTGTCACATTATTGCTCTATATTTTACATGTTTACTTATGAGGGTTTCCGAGCCATGTCTGAATGCAGCTGGTACTCAGGTACAGTAAGTGATTAACACCTGTGAAATGCCATCCGCACAGCAATTTTGTTGAACAAATCCAGCATTAAAAATAACATTTCCGGCCCTTAAACCTAAACTAATTTTCCGTTTTAAATCCAAAACCTTCTGCTTTATAAGTATTAACAAACAGGGCAGTCCACTAATTTACCATGCTAACCTAATTCTGAACATATCTGGGAATATCTGCACACTGCTGGCACAGTAACCTCCTGTCTTTTTTTCTCTTTTTATCTGCTATGTCCTCGCTCAGTATGTTATTTCTCCTTTCTATGTGTTCTCAGTATAATCCCTCTATTTAAAATCCATATTCTATTTACAAGACCTGGTTGTGTAAATTATTATTATTGTTAGTAGCAGCAGTAAATTGTAGCTGTAGCAGAACTAGCAACAGCATCATATCAGTATAATAAAAACAACAACAGTCAGACATATTGGTCTATAATTACTGAATCAAGTAATTATAGACCAATATGTCTGACTTCCATTAGATGTAAGGTTATGGAAGCAATTGTAGTAAAAGAACTAAACCACATGATCACCTATATGGAAATAATATCTTAGGAAATAGTCAACATGGAATTAAAAAAGGTTGCCTAACCAGCTTGTTAGAGTTCTTGGAGCATGCCACAACATTGATGCATATATGTTGATCATTTGATATGGTTTATTTAGTTTTTCAGAAGGCTTTTGATAAATTTCCTCATAAACAATTAATTCTTAAATTGCAGGCAGTAGACAATCAGGGAAACAAGAGTGTTTGGATTGAGAATAGCTCATTAAATAGAAAACCTAGGGTGAAGACACTATAAGTGATGAATAGTGAAGTTTTAATGATGTAATTAGTGGAGTACCACAGGGACCTCAGCTAGGACCGCCGATCTTCCTTATTTATGTCAATAATCAAGGTGCCGATGTTTTTGGTAATTTTGTTAAGTTTGCAGAAGATACCAAATTAAAAAGATTAGCAAATACTGTAGCTACAAGCAGCGGATTAAACTCCTGAAGATTTAGATCAAATTCAAGACTGGGGAAATGCTGGGTGATGGCATTTTATATAAAATGCGCAGAGTGCAGTTTTCCATGTAGATAAATGCAAAATGGGAGACAGAGAAATAGAAGAGACTACTTATGAAAATACATACAGTAGGTGTTTCGGTTTACACAGCATTTACATTTTCTAGATTATGTAGGTAAGTAATATAAAATAAAATGTTAGGATATCTGCTAAAAAGTGTAAATTTAAATTGAGGAATGTTATGTTAAAATTGTACAATGCACTCGTAAGGCCTTGTTTAGAGTATTGTGTATACAGTGTTGGTTCCCAGATGATAACAAAAGATATTGCTGCTCTGGAATCAGTCCAGAAAGGAGCAATCAGATACTGTAAATTCCAGGGCTTAAAGGAGTATCATACACTGGCAGGCTGGAGGAACTGGACCTGTTTAGTCTTGAATGGAAAAAGAAGGGTCTGATACAAAATTTCCTCAGACTGAACAGTGAAAGACAAACCAGAGGGCACAAGTTGGAACCACAAAATATGGAAGTCCATTAAATATAACTTTAGGAGGCACTTCTTAACCAAAAGGCTTGTGGGAGCATGGAGCAAGCTACTGTATACCCATTCAGAGTTGTTGAAGTCGATACCATAACTTTTTCAAGAAATGGCTGAATGAGATCCCTAATTGCTAACTACCCAGTGGGCTAGTAGATGAACCAGATGGCCTTCTGTCATCTGTAACCTTTCTTATGTATTTGTCAGCTACAATAGCAATTATTCCAGCCAAATTACAGGAACACCTCTCAGAATAAAAAAAACTGAATCTTTTTTCCTATATAGGAAAACAGGTCCTTTATTTCCAGTTCTTTTATGGTTTTGGAACTTTGATATGACCTTAATTCTTCTTTTTTACTATCTTGCAGCACGTACAGATATACTCTCCTAATGGTGCCCCCTCAACATTTGTTGTCAAGTTCTCAATCAAAAGTTAAAATGTAACGCTACCTATTGGATACCTAGTTTTTTATGTTTTTGTAAAATATGCAAGGCTTCAATGTCTGTGATGTTTTATTCAGTTATAAGTGGTTGATATAATCACTAATAAAATGTCATTTGTTATTTTAACATTTCTGTGTTGTATGACATACCATAGTAGGCAATAAGTACAGCATACAAACCCCCAAACGGTATGTAAGCATATATTTCAAGATGAATAGCAAACCTGAAGTGTTATTTTACATCTATGTAATGTAATTATTAAAATACATAAATCCCTATCTTTAAAGTGGTGGATGGAGCAGACTCATACATATTGAAGGCTGTAGAAAAGATCCCTGCAATATATATTTATATATGTTTATTTTAATGTCATTTAAAGTGTTTTATTTTTTTAGCCATTGGAAATATGCACATTTTTATATCTCAATTGGCACTTGTGTAGTTTAAGTGCTGCTGTCCCAAAGGAGAACTGAGGTACAAAATACATTTTTTTCACTTTAGTAATGCACTGAAGATCTAGTTATCATAATTGTATTTCTGCAATATAAATGTTAACCAAAAACAAAAACTAAAGATAAAGCACAAGTCTAAAAGTGACTTTTCAATTTGTCTGCTCAAAAGAGTGTTCCAGTATTTTGCTGAGGTAGGTTTAAAAACATGGTAAAGACGTTCTTTAAAGGAGGTGAAATTTATTATGTACAGTATGTAATATATATTTAAATTAAATACTCATATACTCCTAAAAAGCATTTTCTGTCTGATATTTTAACATTTCTCAATGCATTAGTGAACTTAAATGTTTCCTTTGGGAATCAACATTACTAAGGTGAGGTTCCTATCTTAGTATACTTTTATTTGCTCTCTAAACATGTTCTTCAGTATATACAGTAATTTTAATTAATCAGTAAAATAAGTCTGCGTCTTTGCAGATAGTGCAAATGGGAATCTTGGAGTTTGAAATGTCAGATGATCAAATTAAAAAAAGTGAAAAAGTAGGCTTAGGCCCCAGAAAAAAAAAAAAAAACATAACTGACTACACATCATACAGTACAACTGGTTAAGAACTTCAGGTGAACCTAGACATGACCATTTTTAGGGTAAACCTAAATGTTCTACTGGGGATGTGTGATCAGATCCCTTCAGACCTGTCAGTATCTTTCTGTTTCAGCAGCAGGCTGTTACTTCCCATGCTACTTTCCCTTTTGCGCATTAATGCAACAAAAGAACCTCACCTGATGTTCATCAGTGTCATCAAGCGCTTCACCACTATAATGCAGGGTGGTATGTTTCAAGACAAACAACACAAAACAACAATCTCCTGCTGTGACAGCTACAGTATGCCACTGGCAGTCAGACTCTTCCTCTTTGTCAGTGCTGGAGCTGCTGATCTCTCTCCACGTACAGTCTGCCCTTCACTGAGTTCAGGAGAGCCTGTTTCAATGGTGTAGATGGTAGGGTTGGTTGTGTCTTTCTCTTCTGCAGCTGTCCCTACACTTCAGTGCAGCAGTGGAGGCTACTGCCTCCTTGAGGCTCATGTTGACATCTTGGTGTGTAAGCACCGTGGCTCCACTCCCCAAGTCTCCTTGAATGTGCACCAGATGACTTAGATAGAGTCTGCACTGGATCAAGGAGTAGTATTTCATACAATGTTTCTTGGGACATGAGAGGTGGATTGGGCCTTTTGTAGCCGTGCAGTCGCACAATGTCTTCTGTGTGCCAACACTTGGAATGTGACGCATTAGCTAGACATTGTCAGTGAGGCCTTCATCATTTGCCCTTTTCTGACACTGATT